GAGAGAGAGAGAGAGAGAGAGAGAGCTGTATTTATCGATATAAAATTATATATTATGTAATTATGTGCCGATAAATATCATTATGATTTGTCGTATGACATTATAATAACATTACAATGTAATTAAATATCAAATAAATATAATAAATAAAATATAATAATATAGAAATAAAAAAGAATATGCTTTATTTTATAATTATATAAACGCATACAGTGCAGTTGGAAAACATAGTACATCGCAATGATCTATATATTGTAGCGGAAAGAAAAAGATGAAGTATCTCATTTTCTGTCGGTATGACCTACATGCACCTGACGTCGAAATTGTTTCCATCGACAAGAGAAGAATGGATTTACAGGCTTGCAGAGGACGATCCTCCCCCTCGTCGCGATCTTTCTTGAATCGCGTTGTTATACGATTTCTCTTCCCCTTTTATCGATTTGAAAGGAGGCAAATAATGTAGAAATAACTGTATTGAATCGCTCAATGTTAAAATGCCACAATTCCATAAAGCTAAAAATAAAATCTATTTCAGAATCCGCTCTAAATCTACTAGGAATCTACTTAGAACTTTTTCATTTCCGGATCTCTTTTCAATCGAAGAAATGGAAAATTTCAATAAATATCAAACAACTTTGGACAGCAGGCTATGTCTCTATATTCCTGAAATTTTATTTAAAATTTTTTTTGTCAAGCAAAATAAGAGTTTTTAATAAAATCAAGAATCAAGACAACATCGAAAAAAACATGATTTTAATAACATGTAATTTTTAAGTGGGACATAATTATGGTGCGATTTTAATTACAAAATGGTATGTCGTTAGCATTATATCAAAAAAGATGTATCGCTGACGTCTGTATATGTGGACGCTGTTTATATGCCTAAATTTTGACATGAAATAGTGCAAATGCTGTTTCCATGAGATTTTATACAATTTCTTGGTATTTATTCATTTTATTATTATTTCTCAATAAAAAATGTATAGAATTGATTTGATACAACTGCTTTTCTAGGTAAACCTTAGTTGAGCCTCTGCATTTCCGATGTTGATGAAACGAGGTTCAATTATTTGAACCTCGTTTCCATCAAACGTTCTTGCATATTAGGACTATATTCCTCTCCGAAGAAAATTTTACGATATTGTAATGTACATAACGTATATATACTATATATTTCGAGTAAAATTTTCGAGTAAGAAAAAAAGAATTGTACTTTAATATGTTATGGTTATTAGGTCAAAAATGAAGAACGTTTGCAATACTTTGGTATATCTAGAGCTTTATTCCCAAGTACATAGTACACAATGCCTACAAAGCACTAAAAAAGCACTAAAAATATATATAAGCGCTTTATGCAGGATCTACAATAAAAGTCGTAGCGATCATTATAGAATCTTAAGTCGTAGAAAATTAATCAATCATAGTCCAATATGAGAAGAATATAAGAGCGACTATGATTGATGAATTTTCTACGACTTAAAACCCTATTACGCCCGCTACTTCTATTATAGACCCTGTATTACAGGCGCTGCTGTGCTACTTAATTGTAAAGTCACTAGATTTATAAAGTACCGCAATTAATACGTCTAAAAATCGAGTAAACAAGTTCATATTATTTGTTGTCATTTTTAGGTCAAAATAACGGTAAATAACGTCAACTTAATAAATGTCACTTTTATCAATTGTTTCATTTTATGTCAATAGACTTTGACATAATCACGTCATAGCGATGTCTAAATAACGTCGATGACAAGTAAACTGATGACGTTTACAGATCGTAAAAATGATGTCATTTTGACGTAACCTTGTTAGCTGGGTCTAATTGAATTTTTAAAAAAGATTCCGAAACATACGGTTTTTAATAGGATTTCTTGTATCTATTTTTATTTCCAACATTTTCTATTTTTATCTATTTTATTATTAATTATATGAAATTTCAGGCGCAGATTCATTTAATTTAAAAAATTTTTTTTATAAACGTAGAAAAGTACATAAATTCATTAAGGAAAATAAATGTTACTCCTACAAAACACTATAATACCATTGTGTTTTTACGCGTCTTTACATCATTGATCGATACAAATCGAACTATGTGTTTCGTATTAGCTGTACTAACTAAGAATAGAATGGCTATCGGTTAAGGTCAACTTTCTTTCTTTCTACTCATATGAATGGCTAAAGTTCTTTACACATCAAGATAATTTTCCATTGATCGTTGCGTTATTCAATTCCTTTAAAACTTTTATCCGCATTTCTCTTTCTTTAACAAAAGCTAGTATAACATAATTGCTACACAAATCGATATTTGATTTATTTTTTTTGTACAATAACCTGCACCTTAATTTATTCAAAATTATGTAATGGACTCTGTATTAGACTGTAATCAATGATAATATAGCACTAGATCATATAGAGATTATATGTAAATAGAACGGTTGAAAATATTTCGCTTCAAAATTTATTATAAATAAATACTACATGTAATATAAAATTATAAATAAAAATCTTTCTTCCAAATATGTTTATATTATACTGTAAATCGTCTAAAGTATAATTAAAATGTTTTTAAATTTATTCCTATCCCTGTTACATTGACAAATTCAATTTGTTTTAAGAAAATATTCACGTAGTACAAGTAGTGACATCCTGAAATGTGTCAGATGGCGACAATAGAATCGAAAAAGCTTGGTAGGCAAGAATGGAAAAGTAGGTCAAGGATTTGCCGTAATGAGGCCAAGCAAAGAGGGAGAGAGAGAGAGAAGTAGAGTATTGACTTGTATTATTCGGCCGAATAATGCAAACAGAGAGATTCGATTCTCGAATATGCAGGAAAATTGATAGCCATGCAGTGAATTTAGCAGCGATATACAATACTAGTGGAATCGTACGAGGAGAAATCCATTGTTTTTCCGGAGCGAGAGACTTGTTGGAAACCACAACAAAGTAATGACAATTGATAAGAGGCAAATAATCGAAAGCTACAAATTGTTCTATTTCTTCCTGTGTTTTCCCTTCGATATATTCTGAGTGCGTACACCGAGACCACATAACACCTGTTATTACCGCGATAGTGTATCCTAACGCTTCTCACACTTTATCTTCATTAAACGAATGTAATAGCAATTATGAATAGTAATAAATATTAATAAAGAAAATATTTATAAAGAAATGTAGAATATAGAAAATATATAAAATGTTACATTCCATAATATTTACTAACATAAGAGATCTTATATTAAGTATATTATATTATATTATAATTGTTAACCGAAATGATAAAAAGTTATAAAAATTCTATATATACATATTTAATACAAAATAGTTGGATTAATAAAAAATGGCGACGATATATTGAAACATCGCAATTATGGAATACTGCAAGTTACTCGTATAACGTTGATCACTTGAAAAATCGAAAAAAATGTAACAGGATTCGAAATATGAAACCAGTTGAAAGTCGATTAAATTCAAGTATGGAAATATTTTTAGATTTTCTTCTCTTAAAAGCAGATTTTCGGATTCGATTCAGATTATTGCGAAACATGATTATTGCGCTTCTCTTTTCTAGCTTTCCTTCTTCCGAATTATTAAACTTCCTTGACATCCGTAAGGAATTTTTTTCGACGTAAGAAGCCACTAAGTAATTACACGAAAAAACACTTTAGTGCGTCCATATTTGGAGAGAACCATTTTTTATTGTTCTAATTTTTGGGTAAAAAAATATTATTTTATTTATTATCATTTTTGACTTTTACATTTTACACTTTATTATCACTGATGAAGACTTTGTCGGAACGTTTGAAATTTATAGCGTTATACGTAAAGACGAATTTATTAATTAACTACAATTGCTCGTTTATAAAAAGCCTTGACATTTTAATTCATTGCATTTACACGAGCCTATTTTTCTACAATTATTTTATTTATTTAAGACTAATAAAAGTATTGATTTAATTTTTCATATTAATCAAAAAATTATTCAATTTCTTAGTTTTTATACCCTTATATATATGAGGAGCAGACTTTCAAAATGCGTTTTATCCAAATTTCATTTTTTAAATTAGAGATAGCGTAGTGTTCAGTGTTGAAAGACTCACATTATAAGCTTTGATATGTTCAGAAAGCATTTTTTCATTAATTTGTATGCTAAAAAAACGAAGTGCACTATGTTTTTTAACTAGAAACAAATAAAATGCATTTGTTTAATTTAACATTTTTAGCAATTGTTCAGCAATTTTATTTAATATTTTATATCTTACTAATTCGCATATTAGTATTTCCTGTAAAGTACATAATTTTCTTGTATTTCTTTCTTCCTCGTTTTCGAAAATTACAAATTTTGAACAAAACACATTTTGAAAGTCTACTCCTTATGTACTAAATTTATTAGACTCTATTATCATATTGATTTAAAAAAATATATTAAGTGTTAACATAATTTGATCTAAATTTGATTACTCTTGTATATTAGATTAAACTTTATTTTATACATTTCGAAATTAAATTCAAATTTGTAAATTTTTCTGTTTTTTATTAAACATATAACTTTTACTACCGTAAAAATTGATTAATAATTCAATAAAATAAGAAAAAATAGAAAAATTCTATTTTTTATTCAATATTCCAACATGAATGGTTTTTATAAAATATAATTGGCTTACAATAGATATAAATATTTGTATGTTTTTTTTTTTCAAAATCCTGCACAGTGTATCATGCTTCAGAAAACAGCAATGTAACCATCTATATCCATTAAATACGAGCAATTAATGTTTATCTCGTACGCTAAAAGTCCGTAATAAAAAGAAATTTTTTTGAAAACTAGAAAGATATCAGAAAAGACATAAATTCATATTTTTCAGTTTAAATATAAATATTTCTTACCTAAAATGCGTAAACACATTACAGTATTAAATATTAAATATATAAAGAAAGTATACATACACACATATAGTGTATGCATAGTATATATATTTATAATATATACTAAATGTGTAAAGTTTTACATTTTTGATTAATATTAATATTAATATTTTTTATTAATATTAAATTAATTAATAGTATATTTCATACATGAAAAACATTTAAATATAAATTTTATGATAAATAAATACATATTTAATATTTTCATATATAAAATTGTTTACTTTGAATATACACACATATAACCTACGCAGTTCCTTTGTTAATAAAATCTAACATTTTATTGAAAAAACCTTGCACTAAAAAGTTAAATTTAGAAGTGGCTGACTTTCGATCTTTCGTCGTCACAAGTCTATTGTGATATGTCATTGTGCCACTGCGTTATATCTCGAGAAGAAATACTTGACACACACCGGAACCACCCTTTCTTCACTTCGAGGTGGCTGCACAACCAAGCTCTCTCCGTTGCAAATCTCCGGAGATCACAGCGGTATACACTACTTTTCCCTATCGATCGCGTCGTCTTCCTATATAACCGACCAACCGACTCTCACCTCCTTTCCGCATTAGTGCACCCTTAGGAATTTTGGAGCGACACGGCGCAATATTCCTCGGCCATCCGCTTTCGTTTGATAATAATCTTCAAATGGACGATTTCTTTAGATTGATGTATATTTTCTCTAGAAACTTCCAGTGTACACTTAATATGTGTAGCACATATGTGTGTATGTGTGTGTGTGTATGTGTGTGTGTGTATGTGTGTTTTAAAAGGAATTTAATTCAGAAGTTATATATAATATTGAAAATTACTGAGAAATAACTGCTTTATATTATATTACATAATTACTAATTTAGTATTAAATTCTTCATAATATAATAAGTAGAATGTCTTATTAACTGCATTTCTTTTGAACTGTAATTTTTGGATAATCTTAAATTGATTTTTATTTTTATTCTATTTATTATTAATTTTATTATTTCTTTTTATTATTTAATATATTTATTAGGGCATCGGAATACCATAAATTGCTTTTGAGTGGCAAGCATGAAAATAAATTTTGGAAAAATTAAATTTCATAAGAATACATCAATATAGTAAAATTTATATCTATTGTAACAAAATTTATTAAAATAATAATAAAATTATTTATTAAAAATTATATTTTTTATATTAAATTTTTTTTTTATATTCCTAGTAGATTTTATAATAAATTTTATAATAGTAGTATTAATTTAAGATAATTTACAAAGACAGGAGGTTTGCTGAAAACTGTTAGAAAATGTCAGATACCAAAAAGTTGTAATAAATTTTAGATCTTTTTCCATGTTTTCGATTGAGAGGCAATTTATTTCGAATTGAGCAAAGAATCCATAGTTCAAAGAAAATGCATGAAAGACGGCGTATATACATATGTAAATCCATCAGAATATATTCGATTTTGCAATTCTTTGCATACACAAAATCCTAAGTAATTTGGAAATGATATATATATATATATATAATATAAATAAGATGCCGGAAATTGCGAATAATTTTGTATATGCTATGCATCCATTTACTAAATCCATTTACTAAAATCTTCATAATATGTTTATTTCTTATAATATATTTATTACAATGAAAAAATAAAAATACTTAATTTTCTATAATTAATTTTCTATAAAATCTCTGATGGATTCTATAGAAACTTGATGAATGCAAATAATTCTCAAATGTCTTTTTATATAATCATCTGTAATTTTATAAAATCACATACAATTTCATGAAATTATTAGTAATTTTATAAAATCGCTATTATGGATTCTTTAACAAAAAAAATTAATGATTCCTTCATTGATGATACGCGATGTTATAACATTATTAGTGAAGAAGAACATCATTAGAGTTAGATAAACTTAATTTCACATTTTTATTATTTGCACCAACATAAAAATTCTTGTTTTATTTTTATTTATCATTGCTTTACATTTTTATTGATATTTGTAATTCAACAAAAATATTTTTCAATTCTGAAGAAGTTTTTACATATTGAGTTAGTAAAATCGCTCTATATTAAGCAATTAACGAATAGTTAATGTATACATATTTTCTTTTCTCCTCTTTTTTACTTTTTGCATCTCATGTTGTTTGCACAAAACAGAGCAAAATGAAGTACATCCTACATGCGCTACATCTCATGTAGTTCTATTTATGCTCAAAATTAATTATCGAGTTTCACGACTAGTCTTTCGTCGGAAACGGAAACGTGCCATTGTTTAAAATACTTTAGTAAATGAAATATTTCTCTCGACGAACTTTTTATCGGATTCGAAGTAAAACATAACATCTGTCAGTGGTTCCTTTTGTTTCTTAACAACCAATATAAGCAATATTAAAATAACAGTATACGGAAAAAACGGTTTTACTGAAGTATTTAAAAGTTTAGCTCGATCTGAATATAATTTTGTTTTGACTCATCAAAATAATTTTACAAAATGCTTAATTAATTACTAGAATACCAAAACTTTTTGCAGCAAAAAATTTCTTATCAAACTGAGCATCTTATATATAATTATTTTGCTAGTATAATAATATTATTTTCAGATCTCTATCTCTCTACCTAGCTAAATTTTTAAATACTTCAGCAAAACCGTTTTTTCCATGTATAAAACAAGATGTATAATTTTATTTAATATAGAACAAGATGTATCTTCTTCCCTTTTGCAAATTTAAGGATTTTTAATTAATTTAATATAATAAAGATAATTATAACGTTTAAAAAGTTGAAAAAATTAAAATATACCAGTTTCAGTGAGTATGCGTGCGTCTTTTAAAAGCGTTTAAGAATCCTCTCAAAGATAACGCAATGTCACGCCAACGATTTACTTCACATACGTTCCACCCACGTAATTAACGAACCAAACACGAAGGGAACACGGAGCCAACATACTGCACGCTATTTAGCGCGAGAAAGTAATGTTAATTACCGTAACAGATTGTACAGCATGTTTTCCACATGAGATACATACAGATAAAAAACATTTTCGTCACAGATTACATTTTTTTTTATATTATTAATCAAATTCTGAATATAAAATTCTATATATATATATATATATATATATCGAACGTATAAGGAAAAAGAGAGAAAATACAAAAATAAAACTGATATTAAAATTTCATTATTCTATTTGTATATCAATTTAACTTATATATTCATGAAATAAATTTAAAGAAATGATATACGTTACCAAAGGAAGAAAGGTAACCAACAAGCTAGAAACGCTGACATGATGATGCCGAGCGTTCTAGCTGCCTTCCTCTCTCTTTTCATTTTACTGCTACTTGTTATTGGCGGCTCTTCTGGTTGTAGCTCCGGCGACGATTGGTCCACGGTCGGCAGAGATGTCAAACCGGCTGAGATCCCATTGATCTGTAGATGTTTATTTAGCAGAGCGGCCGCTACCTTGCTCCTAAAACATAAGATGAATTATAAATTATTATATAATAAATAATAATTGCATAATTACTTTATGCTAATTTTATACTAATTTTATAAAATGTTTTTCATTTAACTAATATTTTTTTTATTTTATGTGCATGAACATATACACACAATACGCAATTCAAAATTTAATTTAAGAAATAATTTATATAATATTTGTTCTTGCTTTAATTTATCTCTTGATTTAATTAATATATTAAAAAAGAAATTAAATACATCAGATACATATAACTAATATTAAATAAATAATAATTTAGTACAAATAACAGAGAGATTGAATAATTATGTATTACTAATAATACTTGAATAATAATTTTAATTCATTATAATTGTCGCAATGAAATCTTATTAATAATCCTAGACGATTTTTATTATTGCAACAAGTATAAATATTATATATTAATTCATCAATTAATATGTAATATTTATACTATTTATACTATTTATACTAACTGATGAGTTAATATATAATATTTATACTTAAATCTTAATCTTAACACTTAAGTCTTTTAATTGAAAAATAAATTTTTTTAATTAAGTAATTACATCTAAACCTATTCTAATATGAATAAAAGTACAAGAAAAAATTCTAATAGAAATTAATATTTTTTGTTTTTTTATATATACTAGATTTATTAGATTTTATAATTTATTGCGACTTGTTTTTTTGCCAAATTATTACTTTCTTTTTTTCTGTTCAAATTCATATCAATGTTTATTCAACTTCGACCTTCTCAACCGCAAGTACGATGCACCGTTAGTTTTATGATCACTTGGCCGTTATCCAAATTTACTTCACGCTATCTTTTCAGCCTGCTAAATCGTATGAATTTAATGTCTTCCCATACGACTATTTTATTGTTATATCCATTTTGAATTCACAGCAGTACAATTGGACAGTCTTGAACTCTGACCTTCTGACCTAGATTTTTCATTGCAGCTTAATAAACAATTTTACAAGAATTAATATATAAAAGAATTTTAATATTTTATTTTAATATTTTATTGCTGAGCTGTAGGGATTATTTTATTTTCATAATATTAAATTCTTTTGAAATTATTTTATTATTGTTGTTATTAGACAATAATATTTCCGTATTAATAATAATACAATAATTTAATTATACAATTAAAAATTAAAATGAAAAAACAGAACATATAATTTGTTATCGAAAATTAGAGTGATTCCTGAATTAGAATTAGGAAAACGTTACTCCGATGCTGAGAAAATGCAATGTACGTATGTGTTTACTTTTATATATTGCTTTTATATATTGCTATGACATATGCTATGATATATTACTTGTTGGTGAGCTTTTGCATTCAAATATTGCGTTCGTTATTCGATTTAGTTGTTTTACCCGCGCAATTTAACAACGTCCATTTCATCATACTTATAGCTGATTCATGGGAAAATACAACTTTGAATTAACTCGTGTTCGCGAGAATTAATATCGTAAAATATTTGCAAAATAGAATATAAGCTTTAATTTTGTCTATAAATTGAAAGAAAAAACATGTTTATGTATGTTTAATTTTATTTAAAAAACCTATGCTAATGTAGATGGAAAATTTTGAAAAAAAAAAGATACTTTACTATTAAATCTTTAATTTATTCAAATATATTTGATTATTTAATTCTTTTAAATATTCATGTACGTATGTTAATATTTTATTTACATTTAATATTTGCATTTTAAATAATTATTTTTCAAACAATATTAATGATATAAATAAAAAAAACATAACATATAATCATCATCTAATCTTTTGAGTCTTGTAAACAGAAAGATTACAAAGAGAAAGAGGGGGAGGGAGAGAGAGAGAGAGAGAGAGAGAGAGAGAGAGAGAGAGAGAAAGAGAGAGAGAGAGATTACGTTTGTAATAAAGATTTTGTTCGTAATAAAAATTACATTCATAATAAAAATTCCGATTATATTCGCGACGCAATTATGAATAAAATAGGGAATATCAAAGTTATCAAACTTTAAATGACTAATATATCCTAAATAAGTAGTTCATAAATGAACAGTTTACAAATAAGTTTCCCTCATTACTGAAGGCAAATGCAATTAAACTTTGGTAGTTCGCCCGATATACATCAGCTTAGATATTTGCGTAGATACTGAGCTTAAATATTAATATCTTGATTTATATATTTAAAGAAAAAAGAGAGAATATCACACAATACACACACACACACACACACACACACACACACACACACACTCTCTCTCTCTCTCTCACACACACACACACACACACACACACACACACGCACGCACGCACGCACGCACGCACGCACGCACACACACACACGCACACAGTGAGTGCAAAAAGTATTAGTACAAGGAAATTTTTTATAAAAAATATATTATTTATAGAAAATAAACATTAATTAGCAATTTTATACAATGAATACATTTTGTTTTAACATAAACAAACGAACTTAGCATATATTTTGATTTTAGATCCTAAATTTCTCGACTATACGAATACTTTTTGAACATCCAAACAATATAATTTTTAATTCTCGATTATTTTTTGTATGATATATTTTCTATAATTAATACATGTCTTTTTGGTACATATAATTTTAAGAAACATACAGTCTAGTTTATTTTTTATAAATAAATTATTAATTACCTAGCAAGAAATGATCATCAATTAAATGTCAAATCGACATCGAATTGGTTCTTGAAATCATCATATCGATATTGACATCAATTCGATTCATTTCTCATTGGATAAATAAAGTTTTTTAAAAAATATTTTCTCTCTATGAATACTTTTTGCACTCACTGTATATTTACATCATGTAAGTTGTAAAATTGTCTCTGAATCAATATAAATAATTATTATACAATAGGTATAGGTAATTACAATCAGCACAGTAAATAATTTTTTTCTTATAATCATAATCTACTAAACTTAAATTTACATGCTTCATTGTTTGTTAAAAAATAAATCCAAAATCAATCTCGTAACCTAATAAACTGTTTATATAAGTTAGTTCAATTAAAAAGTTCGAGATCAACTGAAGAGCTTCGATATTACTTCCATATTACTTCACGAACCTCGGCAACCACGGCTTTTAACAAAAAGAATATCACACGAACCTCGTATTTCAATTGCGAACTTGCGTTCCAAGTTACGCTCGTTCTCGAAACAAGAGCAAACTTGGAAGATGTTTCTCGACTAAGTTTTTTTTTTTTCATAAACACTCGCTACGGCATAAGGAGAACGTGGAAAGCATTGGCTGAAGCTAAATTAGATATTACACGAGCACGAAGAGATTGAAAACTTCTGAGATTCTATCAAATAAACAGTCATGGCATTCTTGTCGATAAAAATATTTATCGTCTTCACAAAATTTGAGATTTTTATTACATTTAAACTTTATCACGTTTAAACTATAAAATTATAGACAACATCATTGTCAAAGCGTCGGGATATGCGTATCTTAGTTTCAAGAATTATTATTGCAATTCATTTGCATTTCATTATTATTATTTGATTCTAATGTTAATGTTTAATTTCTTTTTTAATCTTATTGTCGTTTTAATTTCTTCATTTTATATTTTTCATTTTTATAGACATTATAATTTTATAAACATCGCCAGATGCCAATTTGAAAACTTATAATCGAAATTAATTCGCGGTTCCACTGAAACCTTGCGCAGTATATTCGTCTTCATTAAATCGAGATTTGCAGTCGCATTACGCTCGATATAGATACATTTAGCCGCTGTATAGTTATGCGCGATATTTCGCTGCTATAAGGATAGTCCGATCGTAATTTGCGTGAAATAAGACCGCCGATAGCGATAGCGGTAGTGAAATATCCTTCGTAAGATTACCATGGCAAGATCATTTATCGTCCGTCTTATGCAGTTACATTAAATGAATGTTTAACAAGCAGACCGTGAATGTATTTTAATCTTCCATTATAAAATAGATATAACGTAAAAGCTAATAGTCAAAATCGTCTTTAATTAATCTATGTATGTAACAAAAATTGTTTTCTTCTTTCTATTTATTGTTATATTTGATAGAAAAAAATTATATATGTAATAATTATTTATACGTATACTTCTACATAATGTGTATATATGAAAAATGAAAATAAGACGTAAGTAATCATATATATATATATATATATATAAAAAAGA